CTTTCCCTTTTCGTATCTAACCTCTTCTTCATCAGAGATCTGCTGTGCCAGGAGAACTGTGTACTGCTGTGTTAGTCTCAGTTAGCTCACTCATCTACTGTTAAAAACTCTGCCTGCCAGTGTATGCAGGACTGAAGTTTTCAACACCATCACTGAAAGTATGACTGAAACCTGCTGGAACATGGTGTCTTTCTATGGTGTTTTCTGTGCTGATGTTGAAAGAGATGTAGTTCTCTTTATACTGGAAACTGAAGAAATCTGAACATAAGTTCGAGAGGAAGCTGGAAGAGACCTGGTGTTAAATACCACTGTTGCTGTCCTCAGTAGAATTTTCTTGTTTGTAGTAATCACAGGGATACAAGGTCATCTCACAAGAGCTGATTTACAGCTATGAGGAAGACAAGTGCTGTGAGTACTTCCTGCAAGAGCAACTGATGCAGAAAAAATAATCTCATAATTTTCAAAAGACCACAAGAGAATTATTTTCAAGAGGAGTTGTACACTTGATCTCCTATGGGAGATAAATCGCTTAATTCCTGTAGATCTTCCTGATAAGCGAGTTGCTTGGGCTGAACTTATGGCTGTTTGAGGTAGAAGTTGCAGAGCCATGACTAGAAGCTAGATCTGTGGTTGTCTTAAGCCTCAGCCGTGATAGTACATCTCTAGTTCTTCGTGCTGCTTTACCCTCTGTTTGCTTGCATATTGCTGTACACCCTCTCCCCGTGGCTCTGACGGCACAGAGCTGATCAACTTGAAAGCAACTTGTTTACAAGAGCCTGACTGTTGCTAACAGCTGGCTGCAGATCTAGGTCTGAGCCACCCGGGAGTGCAGGAAGTGACACACAGAGCTGAAAGCTAAACCTGATCAAACAGCCAACTAGCTGAAAAAATAATTTGGACTTAATCTTGCCAGCTTTGGCCAAACAGTGACACACTGATTAAAAAAACAAAAAGTAAGTGTTGAAGTTTTCCTCTGAGGGCCTGCTTTTTTGAGGCATTCTAAGATAAGGATAAGAGACTGATGTTAAAACACAATGAGAAGTTCAGGAAAGATTGGCAACAACCCACTCTACCGGAAAAATTGGAAGGGCGGAGGTTTGAAGTTTTTCTAATCCAATTTGTTCATGAACATTCTTGAAATGCAGTTACAGTTTGTAAATAACCTCTTTTTTTTTTCTATGTTTAGTCCTTCTCAATGGTGTTAATGTTGCAGTTTCCTCACTTCACAAGTAAAAACAAGGTTCCCAGGCTGCCTCACTGTGCAGCTCAATTTCATTGCAGTTCACAATGGATGATGAAGACCATTCCAAATCAGGCGTATATGATTAAGAAATGCCGTTCTTTTCACACATATCCCCAGGAGTGACTGAGCAAATCAGCAAATTCTTTCACTGACATAGTCAGTTAAATCCAATTCACATGTTCCAGTTTGAGGGAGGGTGAAGGTGTTTGGTTTTGGAGGTTTTTTGCAAGCCAGACTGTCAGTTGCATTTCCACTTTTGCTTTCTGCCTCTCTCCACACTGTCCAACTTGTATTAACAATGCCTTTATATGGGTACCGCTGTAGTGACGATAGTGACAGTACCTCTCACATATTCTTACTAGAAATTCACATACCCTTTTTGTATCACTATTTCAATACACAATCTGTGTGTAACTCGGGTGCGCTTTTTTTTTGTCAACTGTAGCTCAGTAAACTGAAACTTAGGGCAGTCATGGTAGACAAGATACAATGTTGTACTAGATCTCTCTTCCCCTGCCTTTCCTATTCCGAATGTGACTTTCCGCAGCCACACTTGCAGGTTTTTTGGTAGCTTCTGACATCTGAAGCACTTAATGAATAACTCTTCAAGCTTGAATCTGCTCTCCAAAGTAACTTGAGTTAAGTTTTTTTTCTCATTGCTATGGGGTTTTAAGTGTTGCTATTTACAGGCACCACCAAACAAGTATCAGCTGCTAACTATAGGAGACTTGCAGATATGAAATTCTGAGAATGTTCAGAATCTCTTAGATGGCCTTGCTAATTTGCTTAGAAAGGAGATAAATGTGCACCTGTGTCTGACCTAGTATAGGTGGCCTGTGTTTTTATTGATCGAAGTGTGTTTAAGACTGGAATGCTCAGCAGATTATTTTTCTAAAGAAAATTACAGTGTGTGCGGATTTTGATTATTTCTTTTTCTGTGCATTTTATTGAATTCATTTGGCCTAATGATATTGTGTCAGTGTATAGTTCTTGTCTGTCTGAAAGTCTGTGTTTGTCTCAAATATAACAGGCATTTACAGTCATCAGTGTTGTGAGGTTTTTCCTTACAACTTGTACTGTGAAAGGAGGTGGACAGAGGATGGGAACATTAGCTTATGAGCAATTTCCAGTGCTACTTTTTATTACATTGCCATGTATTCTGTCCATTATAAAGCAAGAAGAACTGAATCATAGACTAGCATGCGTATTCTATTACAACAATGTAAATCCCAGGTAAATCTACTGATTTCTGTGGAGTTATTCTGCATTTATATTGGTTTAACTATAAATTAATCTGTTCCCAGTGGCTGAACACTAAAGATAATAATTGTTTTTTTTCTGTTCCATATTTATATTAGAAGTGATAATCAGTAGAAGCGTGTGGTTTAATGTAAAATGGCTTTGTAAATCCTGGCTGTATGCCCGGGCACAGTGACAGTGAATAATGGCTGTGGGGAAGCATTGGGGTGGAATAGTCATAAGTGAAATAAAATATACTGAGGCAAATCAAGCTCGAGAATCAGTGAAACTGACCTTTTTCTCTTAGAGCAACTGACAGCAAAAATATAACTAGCCTAAACACAAACAATAGAGTGATGTGGCACAATCGGTTGTTCCTAGGGAAACACTTTCAAGCAAGCCATGGCTATCCCCCCTTAACCACAAGGATGCGTGACATATCATCAGGTGTGCTTAGATGAGAAAGGGAAGAAGACTCACAAAACCGTTTGCAATGAAAAGAAAAATCACTAATGAGAAGAGGAAAAATGTGACTGAAGACAAGGTGATCTAGCATAACATTGTGACAGTGGTTCAAGAGTTGATGCTTCAGCTGAGCACATCCTTCTGCAAGTCATGAAAATATTAGCAGGGGCTGATATTGAGGTGTCCACTTTTGATAAATCTTTATTTGTGTCTGAGCAGTACGAAGGTTCCACAACAGTAAATGAAATATTGGTTTTGGTTGCAGTTTGCCTATGGTGTTCCTAGCTTGACTCTGAAGGACATTGCTTGCAGTCACATGCTCCTGGACCGCTTTATTATCTTCAGCAGCCGAAGAGGTCTCCCTTCTGTGCACAAGGCCATGTGTGCCTTGTCCCAGGAAAGCCTGCAGAGAGTAGAAGATGCCTTGTATGCAAATGTTGATTTCTTTAAGCTATTTCAGCTGGTAAGTATTAACACAACCATCCTGCCTTATGTTGTCATTTTTTTGGCTGGTATTTGATTGCCCTTCAAGGAATTTCTTTGTAATACATCACCAGTGTTCCAAGTGGTCTTTGTTTGTTTACCCCTGCAAATGTAAGGTTATGGATGTATGATCGTTAACCTACCATCAGCAGAACACTAGACAGTTCTGAGTATGCTTTGGGATGAAACAGATGAGATTCACAGTACAACAGACCTAAAAGATTCAAATGCAATTATAAAAGCAGTGTGTGTGTGTAACTGTTATCTGGTCTTTCCAGTCTGTGTAGCAAAACAGTGTGTGGCAAGACCTACCAGGGACCTTGCTAAGGGTTCTGAAAATACCCCATACGACCCATCCTGCATTTGCTCTGTCCAGCATGATAGAATTTTACGCTGAAGTCAAAGCCACAATGCAACTTGAGTTGTGATAGCCATATGAGCCTTTAAAAACAAAACAAAAGAAACCAAAAAACCCCCACCCCAAACAAGTATTACTAGCTTTCATCACTTGCTCTATAGAAGCTTTTCCTTACCTCTGTTCATTTTCATTGCCCATCTTTATGCTGTTCCTGTTTCTACTGTGACCTTCTTGCCATAAATTAGCCTCAACTGCAACCTTGGTTCAGTATGGAGATATTATGCCACTATATATGTATTTGTTATTGCTTATACTTTATTATATATTTAAAAGTAATAATATATTTTTATATATATATGTAATGGCATACTAGGGTGGGGGTTTTTAGCTTTTCCTCTCTGTTCTTTTCCTAATATTTTTCTAATAGTACATTGGTATTCTGCACACTGCGCTGATGCTTTTAGAGAACTATTCATAAAGACTCCAAGGTCTCTTTCCTCATGATAGCAAACTTAGGTGTACACACAGTGATGGGCTCTTTCATGTTTGTTTTCCCCATGATCATGACTTTCCTTTTTTCAATAATTTATTTAATTTGCTGGTTTCACTTTGTAACTTAATGTCAAGAGACCATCACAGCAGTTCGCTGTATACAGCAGGCAGAATACTTTAGCAGCTGCTGAAGTTACATAGAAAGTATTGGTCGGACTTTTCTGCCACAGCACTGTAACATAACATAATGATTAATTTAACAGCTCTGAGTCGCTCAGATCTGGAAACAGAGGATGCCAGAAGTTTTAACTGACACACCAGCCAAATTACTGTTTGATTACTATAGCACTGACAGTCATTCATTGTGCCCATGTGATTTTGCCAATCCTGATAAGGATCTGTGGTCAGCTTTTGAAAGCTGCTATTTTCCATTTCTAAAAATGTACTCAGATATTTTCATATATCTGATGCTTGCTGGAAGTAGCAGAGAATTAATTTTACAGCACTTCTAAAACAAGTTTTCAGCATTTGAGGACTTCATGTGAATATGCACACTGCACTGCCCAGCTTTAAAATTAATCTGCTAACATATCATGATTTTGATGCAATATCAAATAGAATGGAAAGATGAGATTTGATGAAGCAGTTGTCTGTGTTTAAACAAAAGCAGGCTCACATAGAAGATAGGAGCATAAACCTGAAACCAAAATCTGAAGTTGTGAAAGACTGGGGTGTTCAGGTGCAGGCTTACGGTCTGGTCTGTTACTACAAGATCTGTCTACCAGGACTTCCCCTGAGTACTGGAAGGCTGTGTGTTGGAAGGGTATCCATAGCCTGATTCCTAGTGGGTGTTAATGTCCCAGCCACAGAGAAGAGGGATTACCTTTTCACGATGCCTAGCACAATAAGACCTCAAGGTGATAGAATATTTCTCATACTCTCATCATTACAGTTGCTAAATAATAATTTTAATATATTTCTGTTTTTTCCAATGCAGAAGTCCCCCTTTTAAATCAAAATCCATCTCAGTTACTCCTGTTAAACTAAAAGGTAGACTGTGCATAAGCACTCCTTGCCACAGTTATTTTTACAATGTGCTCCTCCACCACTTTGAAATTAATGTTTCCTGTTGAATTTGTGATCAACATATTCAGGAATGTGCATAAACATACACTCAAATCCTTCGTGTGCTCATGTATACCCTCTAGGGGTTTTTGACAGAAATTAGAGGAGCTCACATTTTTGATAGCAAAGCAGAAATGGAAAAATAAGACCTCTCCTTTACTGTCTGGGTGGTTGAACCGCAGCAAGGAAAATGAGCCTCTTTCTGGAGCACTGCTGTTCTTGAACCTGGGTTAGTTTGAAGTTCTTTAAACCCTATAAATAAATGAAAACAAAATTCTTTATTATCTTATTGCAGTTTTGGGTGGAGGTAAGTAGTTCTTCACTAAGCATAGGCACATGTTGCTGAAACAGCTGCTTTGATCAGTATTACCACATGCACTTCATATATAATCAAAATGAGTGCAAATCTACACTGTTACATATGCAGAATGAATATTCATTGGACTTTTTAAAATCTACATTAGTTTTAAAACTTCTACATTAGAAACACCTGTGTATTCAAGACTCATGTTATTTCTGCACTCTTACACTGTCAGTCACTCTGTATTTCATATTCTTCAGGCTACAGTTGCATAGTTTAACCAATCACATATCAGAATTTGTTTCTGCAGAGCTCCTTATTTGAGTAGGCCTTATTTTAGGATGGACGGCTGACTATGGATTCTAGAACTTGGTCTTCTATTGTTGGGAAAGAAACTCTTCAATGTTTGTACTCTTCCTTTTTTTTAATGACACCATATTCACTTCCAGTGAATATGAAAAGAGTTGGATAAATATTTTGGGGAAAGCTTTCATGCTGCTCTGTGCTTAGGGCCAACAACCGCTCCCAACTGTATGCTCTGATATTTAGGTCAGATGAGAGTGTAGTTTGTATATAATGTCTGCTGATCCTGTCTTACTAGAGAACATGAACTAGCTGAGTACAAATTCAGTAATTTTTGGACATTTCTATTAAGACCTGATTCATACTGAGTGCCTCTGGCAAGAAATAATATTTAGGAGCAAACGTGTAATTTTGCCCCTATTTCACAGAATCACAGAATCATAGAATTCAGATGAGAGTGTAGTTTGTATATAATGTCTGCTGATCCTGTCTTACTAGAGAACATGAACTAGCTGAGTACAAATTCAGTAATTTTTGGACATTTCTATTAAGACCTGATTCATACTGAGTGCCTCTGGCAAGAAATAATATTTAGGAGCAAACGTGTAATTTTGCCCCTATTTCACAGAATCACAGAATCATAGAATGGTAACGGTTGGAAGGGACCTTAAAGATCATCTGGTTCCAAACCCCTGCCATGAGCAGGGACATCTTCCACTTGACCAGGTTGCTCAGAGCTCCATTCAACCTGGCCCTGAACACTGCCAGGGATGGGGAATCCACAGGTTCTCTGGGCAACCTGTTCTGGTGTTTCACCACCCTCATGGTGAAGAATTTCTTCCTAATATCTAATCTAAATCTGCCCTCTTTTAGTTTACAGCCGTTCCCCCTTGTCCTATCACTACACACCCTTGTGAAAAGTCCCTCTCCATCCTTGCTGTAGGCCCCCTTCAGGTACTGGAAGGCTGCTCTAAGGTCACCCCGGAGACTTCTCTTCTCCAGGCTGAACAGCCCCAACTCCCTCAGCCTGTCCTTGTAGCAGAGGTGCTCCAGCCCTCTGATCATCTTCATGGCCCTCCTCTGGACCCACTCCAACACATCCATGTCCTTCTTATGCTGGGGGCTCCAGAGCTGGACGCAGGACTCCAGGTGGGATCTCACGAGAGTGGAGTAAAGGGGTAGAATCCCCTCCCTCGCCCTGCTGGCCACGCTGCTCTTGATGCAGCCCAGGACACGCTGTAACCCCATCATAGAAGGATACCAAGCTGGTCAGGCATGATTTGCCCCTGGTGAAGCCATGTTGGCTGTCCCCAGTCACCTCCTCGTTATCCATGTGCCTTAGCATGGCTTCAAGGAGGATCTGCTCCATCATCTTGCCAGGCACAGAGGTGAGACTGACTGGCATGTAGTCCCCCGGTCTTCCTTTTTTTCCTTGTTAAAAATGAGTGTGGCCCCTTCTCCAGTCTGTGGGGACCTTCCCAGACCGCCACAACCTCTCGAATATGATGGAGAGTGGTTTGGCAACTTCGTCCACCAGTTCGCTCAGGACCCACGGATGCATCTCATCAGGCCCCATGGACTTGTGCATCTTCAGGTTCCTTAGGCAGTCTCAAACCTTGTCCTCTCCTACAGTGGGGTTGAAGACTGAGGCAAAAAAGTCGTTAAGCACCTCAGCTTTCTCCACATCCCGGGTAACCAGGTGTCTAGCTTCCTTCCGGAGAGGGCCCACATTTTCCCTAGTCTGCCTTCTATCACTGACATACCTATAGAGGGCTTTCTTGTTCCCTTTGACATCCCTGGCCAGATTTAATTGTGTCAGGGCTTTAGCTTTCCTAACTTGCTCCCTGGCTACTTGGACAATTTCTCTGTATTCCTCCCAAGCTACCTGTCCTTGTTTCCATCCTCTGTAGGCCTCCTTTTTCTGCTTGAGTTTGTCCTGGAGCTCCTTGTTCATCCATGTAGGCCTCCTGGTGTTTCTGCTTGACTTCCTCTTGGTCGGGATGCATCGCTCCTGAGCTTTCTGTCTTCCTTTTCTCTAGCTACAAGAAGGGGGTTCTTAATTCCATTTTTTATCCCAGAATTTTCTCTGGTATGCTTCAGATTATTTACAACACCTGTTGCTCACAGTTTCAAAAAGGCCAGGTGAAGACAAGTGCATCAAGAATCCTGTATAATGTTTGCAGAGATTGGTTCCCCCTGGGAGACAAAGGATAAGTGTATTTTGAAGCAGTGTGCCTGTATACGTCCTGCCTGAACTGCAAGTGACAGATCAGAACATGCTAACATAAGCTTTCCATAAAAACTCTTACTTTTGTTATTCCCTGCAGGTACCTAAACAATGCAGCTGTCTCCTGCTTTCTTAATCACCTACTGACTGAAAGGAGTGGCAAGGAATCAGCAGGGTCTATAGCTGCACAGTTTTGGGAAAGTATTTATAGGGGCTTATCTCATAAATATTACAGTCTAGCTGTCTGAAAGTCCAGCTTTGTATTTTATTGTAAGACCAGAAGAAATAGATACCTGGGAAAGCCTGAAGAGTGCTAACTCCAAGCGCACATGTGATTCATTAGACAGCTGATTAAGAAGGATGCAGTGATGCAAGCAAAATGGTATGTGACAGGATGCCATGGTGTCACCTGTTTCTTAAGAAGCCAGTGATAACTAACGTGTTAAGTTCTGCTGGAAAGGCCATTTGGCTAGTCTGCAGTCTAGTCTGGAGAAGTAATGTTTTCTGTCAGATCTGACAGACAGGGAGGACCAGACTGTCTCCAAAATCAGGAAATCCCTCAAGTGTAAAGCACTACCAGTTCTTTACCTCCATGACAAATGGGGGCTTCTGTATCACAACTTTTGCTGCATTCAGAAGTTACCAAGAGTCTCACTGGAAGAATAGCCTCTGTGAGAAGCAGCTTCTCAGAAATCCCAGTTCCTGCATTCCTCCTTCATGTTTGCACCTTTTGGCATAATGGACCTTGACAAGCAAAACAAATTCCTAGCTATACTTTCAGTGGCCTGTGACTGTTTCAGTCTCATATTAGTAAGAACACTTACACAGGCTGCTGTGTGAGTCTGCCCATGGGTACTGGATTTGTGGCCCCACAAGACAAGGTTACAAGACTCACTGTTCCAAATAACTCAAAATATTTGAGCTAAAGAGATGCCATTTGGATTTTCTTCTCTTACTGTGATAGCTGTTGTAATGTAGAAACTATACAAAACTCATCTGTATTTCTGATGTATTCACAGCTTCCCACTTTGTTGGACAGAAACTCACCAGGTGCTGACCTGAAGGCCTGGGGGAGGGTGCTGTCTAATGTCTCCCAGGCAGTGCAAAAGGTAAGTGGTCTAATAATAGATGGCACTAATTTTCTGGGTAGCGCATAGTCCTCCTTTTTCTTTGTGCTGTTTATGTTCCAGTTACCTGCTTTATCAGAAAGAAGATAGACTTGTTTGGGAGGAGATGATTCTTTAGAAATTCGTTCTTCTCTCATTACAAAATAAATGCAGACATAAGCATTGGCAGTTATGAAGCATATTCTTTTCTTCAGAAAAGACATGAGAGAAAAAGGACATGAGAGAACAAGAACTGAAAATGGTGTCTGTGACCAGGACAGAAGAGATAAAAGGATGAGGTTCTGACTCCATCCAGACTGCGTACAGCTGAGACCTCACCAGATACTTAGCTCCTTTGAGGGTGGCAATTAACAAAGTCTTATCTTCCTGCAGCTAGCCAGGAAGCCAAGTGTTCAGGACCTTCTGATGGTTCTACAACCATTTGTGCAAGACGGAAGGCCAGAATCCTTAGGCCACTTGGTGAGCTCCCTGTCTGATCTTTTCTGTGGCTACCCAGAAGGAGGTGGATCCAGAGTGCTTTCCTTCAACTGGTATGAAGATAATAACTACAAAGCTTTCCTGGGGATTGACTCGACAAAGAAGAAATCTAGTTATCTTTATGATAATACAACCAGTAAGTTTTTCCACCAGACTATTACAGAGACAGTAGACAAGTGCACTTATGTTAGAATACCACTGTTCCTTTTATAAAATAATATTTTAAAGCAGTTGATTCAGGAAATTAGAGACAGGTGAAATGGTTTTACGTCATACTTATTTCGTAGCTGGAAGCACAGAAGCCCAGGAATTCAGAACTGACCGAAATACACATTTGCTTTCAGTATGAAGGCATAAACATCATCGTCATAATTAAGACAGTCCCTCTGTCTTATCTTCTAATATATGCTACTGGTATCGGGAAGAAATAGATGCTTCTGAAGAGGTTCAGGAAAACAAAGTGCCGCATTCTGGAATTACTTTTGTCCAATATATTTTTTTTTAAAGTCTCTCAACTTGATTGATGGCCTGGAGCATCAATTTTTAAATCTCTCCATCTAAATAATACTCAATTTGATACATGTTGGCTGTTCTCTTCCTGTATATAAGTACATATATTTTATAGCAGTAATGTTCTACAGCATAATTAAATCTTATGTAGAAAGTATTTCAATTTACTAGGCTTTCTTATCTTTGAATTCCTCACTTCTTGTTATTGCAATAGGACAGAGGGCAAAGAGGAACAAATTTTGTTTTCTACCATTCATTGTTTTGTCTTTCTATTATGTCCCCTTCTGTTTGCTGTTTAGTTTTTCTCTACCTTGAGACCACCAGCAATTTTTTCTGTACCAAAAGCCATATTACAGCTGGTAGTACGTTTCTGTGTCCCTTCCGCTATGATAGGTGTGATTGTATGGTTACAAAGTACGGGTGGGGATATTGCCTGTAGAGAGATTCCTACCTTCCACTGTTCATGTTGATACTTGAATGTACTTATGTATGAACCTTCAAAAGACCTAGAAAAGGCCCCGTACTCCATTTCTTCATCCAAGGAAGAAAGTAGTTGAGTGCTATCCAAATAAACTAATTGCTTCATAGTGCAGGAGTAAGATAGAAATGTTTACACTAAAATGTTTAGTTCTAAATTATTGTAGGACCCAGTTCTGAGCTGTTCTGGAGTTCAAAATCCAAGCCAGCTGGATATCCCGTCCAATAGTTTATACTGTGTAAGAATTAACCACTAATAGGAGATAAAATAGCTGTTTATGAACTACAGTATAAAGGAGTGAAGTCTTCAGGAGAAAATTAGAGTTCAAAGTTGTTCAGTGAGATCTGAGATGTCTAGTTTCCTTCCGTTTGAAATACCTTAAAAGTAACGGCAGCTTTCGAATGGTGAAATTTATTTGTTTGGTCTTCCAGTTTCCATTGCGTCTACTTTACAACTCCAATATCTACTTATTGGTCTTTTCCATTTATTCAGATGTTGTACTTCTGCATTGCAGTATGAGCTTAACCCCTTCAGATTCAAAATGCTTTGAACTGTCCATGTTGCCAGTAAAAAGCCCTGCAGGATGTTATGTATGATAGTATTTGAGAAGGGTTTAATAAAAACTGTCTGTCTTTCTGTGTTTAGCACCCTTTTGTAATGCATTGATCCAGAGCTTGGAATCAAACCCTTTAACCAAAATAGCCTGGAGTGCTGTGAAGCCCCTGCTGATGGGAAAAATTCTCTTTGCTCCTGATTCACCTTCTGTACGGCAAATCCTAAAAAATGTAAGAAGTTCTGAAACACAGAAATGTATATTTCTAAAAAAATGCATTCTGAAAAACGTCTTTTGAAAAACAGTGACCCAGCTACCTCAACCTAATCAGATTTTCTTCTCAGAACTCCATTTGTTCTGATAGTCATCACAGGAGGGACTGTTACCCTTTGTTTGAAAAATGGGAGACAGGTCTTCACTGATTCATCCCATCTTGGTCCACACTACATGCTTTTTCCAGCTCAAGCAGCCTTTTGTTGGCACAATTGCACATTTACATTAGTAAATATAGTAATGTTTATATATATTCTACAGATGTAGTAACATCAGCCACTCTGTGCCAGTAAATATTTAAATGGGGCATCTGTGAGGCTTGGGTAGACTTACTGAGGCCTAACACTGAGAGATTACAAACCAATAGCAACATCGTGGTTTAGTATTACATATGTTGAAGTGGTAAATAATTTTCACTTCATGAAAATAGGATGGAGCCTAGACTCTTCAGCTAAGTGCCTGAAGTTGGGTGAAATTAATTTTAGCAGTTAAATCAAGTTAAGTCAAATTAACCTAGGTCCAGTCATGACCTAGGTTTTGGCCACCTCATAACCAGCAATTCGCTTACCCTCAGCATCTGTGTAAGGCACAGAAGAACTCCTCACAATTCACACAGGAAAACACCAGATTTGCAGCAGCCCAATATTTAAAATCTTAGCTAATATCTTAACTATGAGAGTATCTGTCTTCTCCAGCTGCCTCCCATTTATTCATCTACCCACATCATCATCCGCTTTCTTTTTAGTTCTTAATGGAGAGAAACAGTCAAGAGGAAAAGGCGAGGAAGAAATCATTCTGTCTAAAATCTGAGTATTTAAAGGCATTGAAGTTAACTGGGGGTTATGTGCACTTGTTTTTTCTATTACATATACAACAGAAATTTATCCTAAGTGACTTTGATTGGATTTTGTTTGATTCTACAATTATTTTTTTCCCGAGGATTATTAACGTTTCTGCTATTTTAAGAAGTTTACTAAGTATTGAAGGTGAAAACTACAACATTTATAAGTTACAGGTTTCACTGTCACTGAATGACTGGATCATAAATTCTGTTTGTTTATCTCCTTAGCTTTCTAACACTCTTCTCTGCTGTTTTATTCCTCAGGCAAACTCCACTTTTGAGGAACTTGAACGCCTCAAACTGTTGACCAAAGCTTGGGAAGAAGTAGGACCTCAGATGTGGTACTTCTTTCAAAACAGCCTGCAAATGAATATGATCCGTGTATGTTATAACTTAGCAGGATCCTCAGGAAGAGCAGTCTTTCACCATCCTTTATTTTTGCTAGGGGAGAAGAAAAATAATTTCGAAGGTTTGGTGGAAGTACAGCTTTTGTAGCAAGGAATCTGTAGCCTTTAAGGCTGTTGGGCTGGTTACTGGGCTTGGTTTGAAAGCTAGTCTTAGATGTGTTGCAGCATCTCTGTGACAAAACCTCAGACCTGGACACTCTCTAGAATCTGGCTGATGACTTCTTAATAAAGGCCGCAATTGCTGCCTGCTTGTCTCTCCAAAATGTTGTTCAAGAGCAAAAGATTGATTTTCATGGGTTCTTCATAGGCAAAGGAGGCAGTAGGACCACGTTTTTGCTGGGTCCAGCAATTTACTGCCTTAGGAAATTGCTTATTTCCACATCTCTTAGATCTGACTTTGATCAGCTGCAAGTAATATCTGTAGTTAAAGCTTATGAAGCAGTTCATACTAGAGAAAACATTTGTTTTTCCACACTCTTCTCTATTAAGTTAGACATTTGTTACATTTATGCTCTTGCTGATAAGAAAAAATGCAATAAATAGTCAAGGATAAATTTCTTTTTCATCCATTCTGCAAGTCTTGCCTCCAGTTCATCTATGCAATTGCCCCTCTATAAAATTAACTCAATACCAAACCCTTTTGTACTACTTCATACCTCAGAAATAGCTGTGGAAATGGAACCCTTTCTAGCTAAACAGGGCATGTGAGGAGGATCATTGTAGTGAAGCTGTCCTAATGTTTTTTCTCAGGACTCTCTGAAGCACCCTACAGTCAGGGACTTCATGAACAGACAACTGGGTGCTGAAGGCTTAACTGCTGAACACATAATCAATTTTCTCCACAATGGGTCTCCAGGGAGCCGGGAGAAGGGAATGGCAGACTTTGACTGGCGGAACATCTTCAGTGCTGCAGACCAAGCTCTGCGTTTGCTCAGTCAGTATCTGGAGGTAAGGTCAGCCCTCCCAATGCTGGGAATACTTGTAGAGAATATCTTAAAGCTGGGTGGGTAGTACTTGGAGACTCTGGCAACAGACAAGAAGGTTAAAATCATAAGACATCTTCATTTGTTTGATATTTAATATTGAAAGCATGTTTTTAAAATAATACAGCAGTACAAGAACATGTATACATATTATTATGAAAAAACCCTTCAATTTGATGATCCCTAAATGCTATATTCAAAATGTTAGTTGAATGTCTGAACACATTTGGATGTTGAGAGGCAGAAAGTGAATGCAAAACCTCAAGGAAACAACAGGCCACTAACTTCAGCAAGACCACGACGAGAGAAACTAATAGTTCTTTGGTTTCTAAGCACCTGATCAAAATTCTACTGAAACAAATGAGGGAGTTTCCACTTGCCCTGTAGCCACTTCTGACAAGATGGCTGTGTCTCTTTGCTGGAATCTGTACCGTGCTTCTATAGGGTACTGGGTTTTGAGTGGGGCTCTGTGAGGCTTTTTGAGAGCTAGAGAGCATGAAGTGAGCTGAAGTTTCATTGCATAAATAGAAAATGCTAAAAATGTAGATAAAAATATCGAACCATTGTAAAAATACTTTGGAAGGTACTTTTAGTAAGAGGTTACCCTGCTATGGGCAATCTAACTTACTGGTGAGTTTATCAGACTCAGACTAAGTCCAGTGCAAAAAAGGTTATATATTTTTCAAGGACTCAGCAAACTGCTGCGTCCATACCTTCCCAGAGCTGGGTAAATGACACCAGAAGTTTTTTCTTTTTTTTTTCTTTTCTTGCTTTTTGTAAATCCTGTGTGTTTCTGACTGCAGGTAAAGATGTGTTTGGAACTGGACCTGAGATGGGGTGGATTCCTGCTAAGTTAGATAAATGAAATGCCAATTCTTCTTTGTAAACTTAGAAGCCCAGGCAAAACTAGGAGACTCTGCAATGTTGCAGGTTAACTCTGAGCGTTCAAAAAACTATTGTTGGCAATAATATTAATACTTGGGAATTCAACACAGCATCTGCCATATGAAAGTCAGGGTCTTTACAGAGTTTAATTACATCTTACAAGCATCTCTGAAAGAAAAGTAAATATTTAGTTATTATTTATTGGTTAAATAAGCTGAGCCTCAAGCTCACAGATAAAACTGGTACTAGTTCTAGGCAACAGGACCAAGCCTAGCTCTCCTAATTCCAATCCAGTTCAGTCTAAAATGCCATTCATCCCCTGCAAGAAGGCAGGAACTGAGTTTATCTGCCTTCCTATAGCTATTACAAGAGGGAACAATAAAGCTTTTGTACAAAGTTCTGCTGATTCTTCTAATGGTCTTTTTGCATCATGTTAGCAGAATTATTTCTTCCTCAAGCTGAGTGAAATATATCGCTTGCAGCAGATCAGTGCGGCAACATCCACAGTATCAGGGCAGTTATTGTACCTGGTGATAGGTCTTTGTGTCCTAAAGTTCTTTGTAATGAGCTTATTCTTTTAAGCCTGCTGCTTGCACTGAGTTGTTAGCGTTTGAGAATGTTTTCACACTGTGCCAAGCACAATTAGAACAAATAACTCTCTTTCAGGGACACCCTACTCCTTACCATAGTATACAATGAGGAGAGGTGTGCTGCCAGCAGCTATATTTGGAGACTCCAGATCTCTGCTGCAAGCTGTGGTGCAGCTGAGACTCCCACAAGTTATGCAGTGCCTGCTCATCGTCACCACCCCAAGAATTTCCTGTTCTTCCCTTTGATTACCTTAGGCCACAGAACAGCTGAACTGTTTGAGTGCACTGCGTAGTCACCTCCATTAACTATATGGGATAAACGTATCCCAAAAAATTTAATACAACCTGAACCATCAGTCTAATTTGATTTCTCTTCTGGCATGCAAACCAGAAAGTTTTTCTGCCTTATTTTCTTTCTGATATGAAATTCTATGTAGTTTGATTTTGTAAAGCAAACTAGGAGAATGAACATTTGCAAAACACCAGGAAGAGTGAAGCTACAAAGTAAATAAGTTACCAATTTAAAGCACGATTTTGCTTCGCTGCCAGTTAAAAATATTTTTTTGTATAGATCCCATTAAACTGTGATACTTCAAGTTTTAAAGGAAACAGTGCATGATTTATCACAGGTAAAGGTTAAATAAAGGAGTCTTTAAAATGACTGTCCATTAAATAACAAGTTGCCTGTATCAGCACTTTGATGTGGAGTAGTTTTTGGTTATTGACCTGCAAGAGATGATCAAGAAGATCAGATCGAACAAGTTAGCCTCCTGGAATTTTATGAAGCAAGATAATTCAATAAGTATCTCCCCAGTCCGTCAGGAGGTTAAATACTTCTACTGTCTGGTAATATCTTGCCAGTTGTGAAGGGTGGAAGCTAAATATACAAACATAAGTCTGTAATTTTACTAATGACAGAGTTTGTAGTGTTCACAATTTTTTTTGTCTTACAATGCCTGTTAAGTAGAAGTTAAATGGGGGGACATGAAGGGCTTAGATTTTGATGACTTGGTGTCTTGTGTACAGAGTGATAATAACACATTTCACAATAACGACAGAGACTAAGAAAGAAGACAGTTTGCTGTGAAGGGTAAACTACATTTTATTATTGATATAGCCGAAACATATTAAGCCAGCAGGTTAATCACATCAGAATTCAGTAGGGACACAATATTATCAGTAAGATAATTGGCTACTTGACTGTCATTGTATAGGAATGCCTAAGTAGCTAAGACACTTTGAGATTCAAATTTGTGCTCTGACTCTGCCAGAGTTTCTTCACTTGACAAAGTGCTTTTCAGCTGGAGTCCATGGCTAATATGCTTTTCTTAAGGATCAGCCATTCTTTAGCTCCCTGGTGTTCACTTAGGGACTTCCTAGGCTAAAAATATGTCCCAAAACTTGAAAAAGGCTAGTGTTTTGATTCAGCTGGACTGCTAAAAATGTCTCATGGCCAGATTTATTTTATAGGTGAGTTAATTTTATGTCCTGGATAGAGACTGTAGAGACAGTTCCTGACCTCATCTGCCGTAGCGTTAGCCCTTCCAATTCAGATGTTTGCCTTTTTGAGGAAACCTTCCAAGTATAGTCCAAGTGGCAGAGTTCACATTTCCATGGCTGGATGATTACAGTGGCTTAAGTATATTTAAAAAAATAAAATTCATTCTATCTAATTAGTAAATGTGGCACTATAGGCTTTGGCTGAACTTAGTACTGGCTGTACATTTTGTACAGGTACATCTAAATTTGCTCTGTCATACTTAAATTGCAACAGCAGCTCCTGCTTTAGTGGCCACTGTTGCTTGGTTTCTAACTTGTCAAGATGGACATTTCTTGAGCTTGGAGAAGGCAATCCTTAAATACCAGGAACAAACTGCTTTCAAAATTATTCCATCCACTTACATTGACCACAGCAATGCTAAATCTGAGTTTTATAGTTCTTTTTAGGGAGAATGATGTTTTTGAGCTTGTATTGGTAATGCTGTGTGTTTTGAATTTGTCATAAGAATTACATTAAGAATGGGGAGGCTTTCAGGAAGGAGGAGAGAGTCAACTGTTAACAGTTTAAGCATAGTCTTTTAAAGCTGAATATAGCAACTACTTCAGATGAACCTACCTCCCTTTTCTGTTTTCAACCACTGATTATTTCATTTAATGTATTCCTCTTACTAGTTTATTCCAATGCGATTTTTCTCTTTGTTATTATTTGTAGTGCTTGACCTTGGATAAATTTGAAGGTTATCTTGACGAAACTCAACTGACTCATCAAGCCCTTCATCTGCTGGAGGAAAACAAATTCTGGGCTGGTGTGGTTTTTCCAGACATAGAGGCTACAACCAGCAGTCTTCCACCGCTTGTGAAATACAAGATCCGGATGGACATAGATGCAGTAGAGAAAACAAACAAAATCAAAGACAGGTAAGTGATGGTTCCTTCTCAGTTCTTGCCTGCCATAACATGAATATGAGAGACATAAGAACATTAGAAGCTGCACTGGATACACGCATGAAATCCAGCTGTATTCACCAATAGTATGTAATGCAGTGTAGAATCCATTTGCAGTTACCAGGTACTGTGACAGTTAAGCCAAGCAGTGGGTAGGTGCATGGATACATAGCAAAGGGAATGGCTCCACTCAGAATCTATTCAGTAACCCGTTTAAACTTTTGGTTGGCTCCATCACTGGGAGAGGCAGACAAGGAAGTCCTACAGTGATAGTGACCGAGTTGTCCTCCACCTGGACAGCAAAACTTCTCTGCTGTTCCTCTTCAAGTCTCCTCAAATGGACTCACTTAAAGGGATAGCAGAAATAATTTCTCAAGATTGTCTACATGGACGAATATAATGGTGTGTGACAGTTGCAATTCAACTGTTCCAGTTTAATGTCCGAGGATACTGTATGACAAATACAGTTATTTCTATTCTAGAACAGTTACTCTGCTACGTAGTGTACATTTTTGGCCAAAATAGCTGTTCTGTATCAGTGTAGAGAAAATTAAAGGAAACAAAATAACCTTCCAGGTCATATACTTTCTCAAGCAATATGGTCTGAGTAACCAAAATCTAGAAAAGACAACTGCAGGCAGTGCCCCTACAATTTCAGTAGCTAACATGGGGTTTTCTATTTATTTCCCTCTCTGCCCCTCCCCTAAAGCCACTGTTTACCCAAATGATTTCCATGTGAATTTTCTTTTGAGGTACTGGGATCCTGGTCCAAGAGCTGATCCTGTGGATGATTTACGTTATATCTGGGGAGGCTTTGCATATCTCCAAGATATGATTGAGCATGGGATTATAAAGACCCAGACCAACGTTGAAGTTCCATTAGGAATTTATCTGCAGCAAATGCCATATCCGTGTTTTGTGGATGATGTGTGAGTAAAAGCAGTTTCTCTTAATGCTGATGAATACTTGGATTTCTGAGTGCTGTAAGACTCTCAAGCACCAGTTCTAACCCTAGTCCTAAGGTACACAATGGCAACAACTGAGACATAACTGAACTAATTTATTCTTTTCCTCATCCTGCCATAATCCAGACTCCAGAAGCCACCTTTTCCAAGATTCTGCCTGTAATGCGAATCCTGACCTTTGTTGCATCCAGACCTAAAATGATCACAGAACACTGGCCTCTTAAAAGCAACAGTTTTCTTCCATGTTTTGGCTGTCACACAAAATCAAAAAAATAATCTGGGGGTTTTTTTGGCCTTACTTTTCCAGACAACAATAATAACCTAACCTAAACCTTCACATTGATTACAGCTGAGAATCTGTTGTCAACAGAGCACCCTAGCTATAATGCTTTGACTCCTTACCCTGGAATCACCCCTGTGATTAGATAGGACCTAGCAAAAATGTGAACTTTTAAAATGTTTTTGTCTAACTAAAATTAAGCCTCATGCTATAGCATATGACCAGTGCCTGTAGCAAAACTGAACACAAAGCACTGACCCGTGTTAGAACAAATATTGCATCCTTCGGTTAACTCTGCAGAATCCATTGAAGTGTAGTAAGCTTCTTTTCCCTAATTATATCTCTAAAAGCCAGCTTTCTTTTTATCCAAAGAACTATTTCTCAAAGAAAAATTGAACACCAAATGCTTATCCCAATGAAATTGACACCTCTCTTGCTATCTCTGAAAGTCTTGAAGAATCAAACAACCTAGTCTTTTCAAGCATATTGCCATACCCTAACCCTAGACTTAAATGTGTCTATATATATCAATACCCAAAGCTGTAGGTTTTGGTCCTTGAAGACACCTACAGGCCTTGCAGAATACCAAGACCATTTAGGCTGTTGAAACTCTTTCCTTCCAGAATCCTAACCACATCCTTCAACAGGATTCCATCTATAACTACTTGGCTAGTATCTGCAATCAAACTGGATATATGGCATTGGTTTCTGTTAACATCAGCCCTTGGCCTTCTCTCGTGGATGCTACAGTTTTCAACAATAACCTGAGATTCTCTAACCTTCTTCTCCATAGTTCCTGTCTATGGTTTTATGAAGATAGACTGGTTTTTGTCTTAAATCTCATATGAATCTAGCAAAGCATTCCAGGACTGTGGCTGCCGTTCATTATTGAACGAAAACCAGGAGTTTCTTTCCCTGGTGAAGAGCGGAATAAAGAAGCTAAAGGAGAAAGAGGTGATTTGTTGCTCTGTAACGAAAAAAGAAAAACTGTGCTCCTAGGTGTGAAGATTTCATAGCTATGTGGAGGCAGTGGAGCTGTGGATTCCCATTAGCACTGCCTGAACCAGCATGTGTGCTCCAGGTTTTATGAAGTGGTGCCTCCTCCCTGTTCACATTGTGCTTGTTCCAGTGCTGCAATCTGTGCTACTACAACTGTCTTAGTATACATTTGACCCAAAAAAAAAGTGCTATAGAAATCATTTCATAGTTCTGTCAGTGTGCTCTGTTCCGGCAAATGCTAGTACTTCAGATAATGTCAGATTGCAGATAGCGTAATTTGACCTGTTGTTCCCGTCAGTCATTACCTGTTAGCCTGACGAAATGTCGCCTTGGCAAGCCTGCTGTTTATTTCCTCCGCACTCAGAATACTGCAGAGGCAGGAACGCCATCTGTGCAAAAGTTCTCTGAAGCCTGCAGTAGCCATGCACAGTTCAGGGCTGATATCCAAACCTAGTGATGGCCTATGTAAAGAGCCTGCGTGAGTGAAGCAAGCGCATCCTCATGGTACGCATGTGTGCATGCATGGCCTTAGGGCTGGGTTACATGTGTCCACCAACAGGAAAAACCCAGTGTACCCCAGGCCATTCCACAAAAGCATGGCTTTGTTTCAGCGGGCCAGATCGCTCTTCAGGAATTCTTGGTGAAAAAGTGAAGATTTTCCATTTGTTTTGACAATGGAGTAGCTATGATAGCATATGCCAAAAATGTACTTCTGTTGGGCTCAGATTTAGGAAGCTGAAGGCTTTTTGCTCCTTTTTGTTTCTAGCAGCTCTAAGGTTTTGTCCTTTAAAGAATCAAGTCCGTTTGGTTTTCAGGGTAATTTCATTTTAAAATTGCCATCCCAAATTCATAGAAAAAGTTTTCAGCTTTTTCACTCCAAAATCTCTTTCTCACCCTTGGGGCAGTGCTTCACCAAGGATCATCTGCCAGGGCTGAGCAGCCATAGAGCCTGGGGGAGGGATGGAGAAAGGGAGCAGTGCCTTTGTCAGAGTACATGAAGGGCCACCCACAGCAGCCTGTCCCAGCACTGTCGTTTTGGAAGTGATACTATGTGGACAGTCCCAATGCATTCCGCGAGTCATGGTTTGTATGAATTTCAGCAGCCTTGCTGGCAGCATCTGATGCTTCTAATGCTTAATTTGTTTAATTCTTTTGCCAATGAATCTTGGGAGCATAAAAACACAGTGACACTCCCAAACCGTTAACATTAGCATATGTCTTGAAATGTTCTTTGTACATCATACTAAAAGCATTATGGCAATTCGCCGTAAAAAGAGATGTATTTTCATGAGCCACCACATGTTTTGTAGCCTTCAGTAATCCTTAGAACCTCTTTGTAAAATAGAAATAAAATTTATCTATCTCATGGGAGTGCAGCAACCATTAGTTCATTAATATTTAGATTGCTTGTGAAGTTCACTAGCAACATGTTACTGATGTTTAGACTGAGAATTTCTAGTTCCATGTTTAATAAATGCATTCTTCCCCACTCATTTCCCTTTTCGTTCTTGCTTTTCAACTCAATATTTCTCTGCTTTTCCTAAATTTAATTAATTTCTCCCTTCTTGCTTTGGTAGTTTCATGATTACTTTAAACCGCACCTTTCCCATCTTCATGGTGCTAGCTTGGATATATTCAGTTTCCATGACTGTGAAGAGCATAGTGCTGGAGAAGGAAATGCGTCTGAAAGAGGCTATGAAGAACAGGGGTATAACCAACGGGGTGATTTGGTGCACTTGGTTCCTGGACAGCTTCATCATGATGGCTGTGAGCACGTTCCTCCTTACAGCCCTGATTATGGTAAGGATTCCCATTCTCAAACTCACTGTTGTGTTTGCACTGCTGATACCAGTTTGCTGTTGAGGAAGAATAGTAGCCATTCAAAGGGAGATGGGAATGGCTGGTGGCCTGTTCTGATCGCAGCACATAGCAGGCTCTTTCTTCTAAGCAGACCTCATGACAGCATCAGCAGTTGGCAGAGACAGAAAGGTAAATTCATTAGTAAGATTTATTGTGAGATTCCCCCACAGAACAATATATCAAGCTGATTACTCTGTATATTGTATTTCCTGTAGACAAAGGCAGATCTCCCAGTAAATAATAATTATTGCTTTCAGTAGAAGGGATCATAATATGAAGAATTTTAATCTTATAATTCACATTATGTGATTCATTTATAATATTCAGTGCTTGCCTGCTTAGAAATTATGTCACTATTTCAATGGGAAAAGAGACTGCAAGGACAGAACTTTCAGAATAGCATGAAAAAAAGAAAAAAAACAACAAAACAAACCAACAAACCCTTTTGCTTCTGTGACTCAGAATTGCTGTCTTTTTTGTAACTTTTCAAGACAGTTTGGATGTTGTATCTAAGGTCTACCTCTTATCTCTGTTACCTGAACCAAGCTCCTCCTAGCTGCTATTTTTATAAGGAAGAATGCCCTTGTATCATTTCTGATGTGAGGAACTGGTGTTGGTAGAAATGCGTAGTTAGGGTTCAGTCTGCTCTACCTTAAGAGCCTGCCCTGATGAGTTGTTCTAGTTACTTGTGGTTCCATTGCAGCTTGGGTCGATAGAGAAAGCTTACTTTATTTGCTACACTGGTTTAACTGAAAATCAGAAGGTAGTTAATACCAGAGAGGAATGTGCTTCTACCTGTAATTCGCTTCCTTTCCTGGATTTCACTATGCTAGTGTGAGACACCTTTGTAAATACATTCTTATGAGAGATTGTATCACTGTTGATAAAGGCCCAGTGGGATGTTGCAACAATGTTGAGACCTATTTATAGCCTTATGGACCTATATGAGCCTTATATAAGGCTCAAACCAAAGTTTAGCCTGATAAATTGGTCTCAGCATTACTTTTGAGGAGTAAATAGTAGCAGTCCAGTAGTAGATGTCCATGCTCTTCTTGAGAGGGAGCACTGAATCTACAAAAGCTCTAAGGAAGAAAGGTAAATGAAAGTTCACCCAGTGGGTTAGTTAGTACACAAGGATCTCTGAGAAGCTCTACTTGGATTCCTCAGCTGTGATACCCTTCTGGAGTTTGAATATAATTTAAGTGCAGAAGCTTTATATTTTTCCGGTTGTTTTTTGTTTTTTTTTTAAGATGCATTTTGTCAGCATTTAAGATGCATTTTGCTTGCATTGTCTTTCTTGCACATGAAGCAGGTGGACTGAGGAGATGAGATCAATGAAAATTTATTACGATAAATAGATTTTGTTTAAACTGTATAAATTTCCAAGCAAGCACATCTTGTTTGGAATCATTTGCTTATTAAGACAGGGACAGAATGTCCATTTTCAATCAGTTATGATCTTAATTCAGTCATAAAATATGAACTCCACAGCCTGTTGTACTAACTTGAAGTCACAATCCAGGAGCAGGAAGAAAGTTAGATGAAGGATGTGTTCTTGTAATGACCTCAGGTGTTGAAACATTACTGCCTGGGAGAGTTAGAATTCATATTAGGCAAGAAAGACTGGCTTATTACTCATTACAGGTTACATGTCAGTGGCAATTCTGACCTTTTCTGCTAGTTCAGAAAGAGGCAATACTTCTAAAGTTTTACGTTTTCCTTTTGCTTACAGTGCGGACAAGTATTACATTATAGCAGTCCACTTCTCTTCTTTCTATTCCTACTGACATTCACCACAGCCACCATAATGCAGTGTTTCTTGTTCAGCACCTTCTTCTCCAAAGCAAATGTGGCAGCTGCCTGCAGTGGAGTCATCTACTTCACCTTGTACCTGCCCCACATTATCTGCTTCATCTGGCAAGACCGCATGACTGTTAATCTGAAGATCCTAGCAGTAAGCTTTTTACTGATTACATGGTGTCTCTGGGTTCAAATTTTAGCTGCCCTTCTCGCTGTGGATATGTGAGTAATGAAGCGTTGCACGCTTCTTCCTCTCTGCTTTACTAATTCAGAATTAACTCTGAATCTCTCTCTAATAATTAGGGATTGCAAGTGAGTAAGCTTTTAGCAGACCTGGTGACCAAGAGGTATTCTCATGGCTTTTGGAAAATTCAGTAAAATTTATTTTGCTTTTTGAATACTAGGAGATTAGCATAATGTTAAAAAAGTTTTGAACACTTCCTTATAAGTCAAAACAAATTTAATTTATGGTATGTGTAATAAATACAAAGGCAATTCACAAAAGGGGGACAGTTATCTTTCTCATGTGCTATAACCTAGTTAACAGGGTAATATCTAAGGATGAGAGGACCTCAGGTTCATATTCCTTCTTTAGCTGAACATAGAGTTAGAATTTGAACCCAAGTGCCAAAGCGCTGAGAAATATCTTCCATCTAAGAAGTTGTAGACATTCTCCATACAGTGCTTCCTTGTTGGTTCTCTTCCATAACTGGTAAGATACTTAACAATTCAGTGGAGCTGGAAACTTCTTGCTGTTTTTTGAAATGGAATTGTGAACTCACAAAAGGTATACACTGCAAAGTTCTAGATGCATCTATAATATTTTCTGAACTGAGACATTAATGGAAAAACAAGCTGTGAAGGTTGCCTAGTAGCTAAAGAAAGTACAGCTATGGTTGAATTCAGTCTGTTATGGCTAAATACTGCTTAGAATTGCCAGCATTCAGAGGATTAAACATCCCATTCCAATATAAAAGTGAAGCCACTTTTCCATGATCATTTGTTAGGCATTCTGAATTTTTGAAGTCCAGTCCCTAAAAGTCATCTTTTTTTGTGGTTGTTTTACAGAATGTTCCTCTGTCTGAGTTGAATGTAATTTTTCTTTTATTCCAGAGTTTGCTTTCTCAAGTAGCTTTTGGTTTCGGTACAGAATACTTGTCACGCTATGAAGAGCAAGGTCTTGGCCTGCAGTGGGGTAACATCAGAACTAGTCCTTTGGAAGGAGATGAATATAGTTTTCTTTTTTCCATTAAAATGATGCTTTTTGACGCTTTTCTCTATGGAATACTTTCTTGGTATCTTGACAATGTTTTGCCAGGTATGTCAATTTGTTATTCATACAAAGTAGTGACAATTGTTGTAAACTGAGTTAGTCTAATCAGTCTCTGAGTATTTCCGTGTCAGAAAAAGGGTATTTGACATTGTAGACCATAAGTCTTATCCAGTATAGCACCACTGGTTTATTAGGGGTTTCCACTTTTCTCTTTTTCTTTTTCCTTTCTCTTGTTTTAGTCCTGAAAAGAATGGAAAAGGAGGAGCAATTTCTGGTCCTGTTTTAAAATTTAAATAGAAAATAAATCTACAAAAATATCATTTGTTAAAAGCCAATTTGTGTACATATTTTTCTTTTGAGAAGTTTTGACCATTTCTAGTAAGATTTTTTAAAATTTTTGAAAATATAGAAGTAACAGTTCTAGTTCACATATATACTAAGGCCACATTAGGCCGATTGTTTCTTAAAGGATGGTGTTATTTCCTGAGACATATACTGTGTCCTAGGCAGCTGTGAAAGTTCCTGTGTGGATTTATTTTATTTCTAAATGGGTATTCTGGTTCTAGTCGAGTTCACAAAAGGATTTCCTTTATTATCAGTTACAAAGTTTGGGAACTTTCTTTGTGAGAAAATGCTTTGTCCTTGTAGCTTAAATGGTTGGCTTGCTTCTCATTGAATATTGTTACAATATGATAAACGCAGACTGTGACGCTGTACAAGCAAGTGAGCTTTCTTTTCATTTATTACTCCCACATGGGAACAGCAGTTCCAGAATGTGTTTCTTGGCAGATGGCTTTCTTTCTTTCTTTCTTTCTTTCTTTCTTTCTTTCTTTCTTTCTTTCTTTCTTTCTTTCTTTCTTCCTTCCTTCCTTCCTT